GCATAGCAGTACATGGAAACATGCATTAACTCAAGTAGTCTTTTTCAGAATTTCTTTAAATGTGGCCAGTGTCTCACTTTCTGTTTGGACTCATGCTGAATGTTGCAACGCTCACTGCAGGTTTTGGAGTTTAATGACATCTTGGACCGAGCTGACAGCTGAGTGACAAAACAGAATTGCCAAAGATTGTAGCACATTAGTAAATATTTTAATTATCTTTTCACTGCTGCAGCCAGTTGACGTCCAAATTAATGACGTCTAAACAAGCAAAGGTCTTAGTCTGGTGGGCAGTGGTTTTCCTTTAAAGCCATTTCAAACAAGCAAAGCAAACCCCCCCCCCCTAGCGTTGTATATTCTTTTAGTTTACCATCCCAGTCTAAAGCTGGTATTCCAGGTTATGGTTTTGCATTATTACAGATGTGGAATGAGGTTTGCTAACTTCTTAAACATACCCAGAAGACCTGCTTTCGCTGTGCTTCTGTACACAAATGGCAACATTTTAAGATTTGGTGAAGCTCTTATGTTTGCATTAAAAGTTAGCATAATCCACATAGTCCATTTTGTAACTGTAAATAAGCTGGGATTCAGAATTTACAAAAACCAATACATTTCGTAGAGCTTGTACCGACAATTTTGCACACTGTAATCTACTGACGATCATCTGCATGCAGGAACGACAAAAATCCTCCGCATGCATGTGATTGCACTCTTTAATGTCATGTACCGTGCAATCTGTGTCTGTGAGAATGGATGTACCTTCAAGCCCTCAGTTACGTTGCTGTTCTATTTTCGGCATAGACAGGTGCTGCTGAGCATCATAAATGTGGCATGACAGTTGAGTCAGTGCAGAGTGACGTGCAGCACTTGCAACATGCATGCAGCACATAAATTACAACAATGCTTTGAATGTTGTCGTTCTGCTTTAAAGCCATTTAAGCCCTCAGCAATTTCTTGAGATTTCCACTTGAAAGAAAAAAAAAACAAAACACAAAAACCTACCAAACATCAGTAGAAACAAAGCTGAGAGGCCAAAAGAAAAAACGTTGGGCCCTTTGGATGAGCTGACACTTGGTCTTTGTGTGTCCATCACTACCAGTCTGAAAACCTCCAGCATTTTAACTCTGCGTGAGTCAAAACTGTAAAATAGAGTAAATAATATCTTTATGCCAATGAGTCAATGGTATCGGTATTGTTGAAACCAGTGACGTCTCTGCATTTGGAGCCAGCGGGACCTGGTCCTACCAGATGTTGCTGTGGAGCTCTATGCTGGATTGAAATAATTAAGGGGAAAAAGATCTGTCTTCTTGAGTAATAATCCATAAAGAATATTTTATCAAGAATAATAAGACTCCAAGATGATTACCAAGATGATTTTGTTATAAACATTTATACATAATCCAAAGGCTTTGCCCACAGAATGCCAACAAGTCGCCTAATTCCTCTTGACGCACCGGAGAATAGAACCAGTCCATCAGCGTTTGTTTAAGTGATGAACTGCGGAAATCATGGCGCACATGTCCAAAACTGCTCTCCGTAGACAGCTGCAGGGCACAGTTATTGTGCCCCGCCCAAGCCGAAGTCATCCAATTAAATACTGGAATGACAACATGTAATAAACATGTGCAGTTTTGG